ACACCGCGAGTAGCCCTTCCAAAATTTCGGCTGCCACCCAAGACGGTTACACACCGCGAGTAGCCCTTCCGAAAATTTTGGCTGCCACCCAAGACGGTTACACACCGCGAGTAGCCTTTCCGAATTTTTATAGATTTGTTTAATTTGTTCGTTCTCGATATCTCAAAAAAAAATCAATCGCGATGTCAGTTTTTTGGTTTCGCGAGAACTGGAACCTCCGTATATATAATGGTGTGGACTTACTACTTGCTGTTTCTTGTGGCGTTGATTCTCGGTTGAGGCCGGTGCGGCACTGGAATAGCTCGGGGTTGCAGGTCGCTGGTGTTGATGCTTCTGTGATCTCGCTCTCCGCACTCACTGGCACTCACTAATTTACTCACTGATCTGCGGCTTTTTTCGGATATGCGGCGCGGTTCTTTTCGGATATGCGGCGCAGTTCTTTTTGGATATGCGGCGCGGTTCTTTTTGAGTTTCCGATTCCGAGAGCCCTGGCTTATATACTGTTTTAGTAAGCGAGGACTCTTCCAATCGGGAACTCAGTTGAGCTTTGCTGGTTCCTATTTGTTAATTAGTCGGTCGGGCGACTTCCGAGATCGCCAATCGGCGACGATCTCTCGCTTCGGTCGCCTCGTCCGATTTTTCGGGGAAGGAAAAAGGGAGAGTGTTGTCTCTTGCGATCACGCTGCATAGACTCCTTCTTGTTTGTTTGTAATAAAAATGCCGGAGTTTCTAGTTGCGCCGGCCGCTCTAATTTTTATGACCGACGTTTTTATGACCCGGAGATATCCGGGTTTGTTTGGAAAGCTGCTAAAATTTTGTATTATTGCTAGGCGCAGTTTATCTTTCCGGGCGCCGATATAATTTTTGTTTGTTCTCCTATCGTCTGGAGTTTTAAGTTTCCAAACGATAGGAGACCCGTTCGAGTTATTTATTATAAAAAAAAGAGGTTCGCTATGCGTTGGCGCGTCGTGTCGCATGAAAAAGGGGACCGTGGAGTCTCCAGGACGTAACAATTGAATAGGTAAATATACAGAATAGGGGAGCCCCCTCCGATCGGTTTCTCGTTGTCATATATTGTAAATATGATCTTCTTAGTATGTTTCTAAAAGTTGTTTTAACCGTGGCTCATTGTTTATAAAAAAGATGTAAACAAAAACAGTTTCATGAATAAACTATTGTTCTTCGACATCGTGTACATTTCAGAAGAAAATGAGAAATGCATGTGTGGACGCAGTGCAACTTTCCAACGAGGCAAAACGAGGGTCAAGTCAAACCTATGTGTCTAGTTTTTGAATAGTGGAGTCCCCTCGCAGAAGGGGCGGAACACATTGTCTCCACGCATATATTTTCATTGATTTAGAACAGTGTCTGACAAGTACTGACAAGCGTACATGATAGTCAGTGAAGAAAGTTTTTAACCTCTATATATTCATTTTACATATTCGAAAACTAAATATTTTGTTTTTAAGATACCCTACCCTATACATATCGGCGATAAAGACTACTTTTTTATTCTTTTTGTTTGTTTCGTTTTTTCGTGTAAGCGTAGCGAGCAGTAGGCAAGGATGTAGGCAGGGCGAGCGCAGCCCCTGTGACATCAAAATATTTGACGCGAGATTTTTCGATTCTTCTACAATTTGACACTAAATTATTCGATACCTTACGATTTGACATCAAATTATTCAATACCAGATTATTCAATACTATACCATTGGATACAGTACATTTTGCGATATCGTGTACACTTCACAAGTAACTATTTTGTTTGCATCACACATTATCGTACTTGTGGAAGAGGAAGGAGTTCTTGTTCTCCCTGAAAAAACCTAACCCAACCTGTGTTACAACTATCATTAATTGTCACGATCATACATATAATACTCCTATATTGCTAGTCGCGTATCTTTGCAATGAGGCACGAGGCCCGAGAAAGAGAGACGCACGAAGTCCAAATATGGGCATAGATAGTCGAGCGTCATTATGCGCAGGCGCGTCTACTAAGCGAGTGCGAGCGAGACAAAGCATTGGAAAGTGAGAGAAAGAACGCGAGAAAGAGAAATGCGCAAGCGTGCTTGAATGTTCACCGCATGCGCACAAAGCAGCTGGACCTTGCGCGAGAGAGAGACTACTATATTGTCTGCACCGTAACATTCGGGCTTCAGGTCGGCACCGTACTAGCAATATAGGAGTATTATATATATGGTCACGATGTACATTGCTTGTCACTTGTACTGTGTCTAATTGTATCGTGGCAAATTGTACAGTGTCGAATCGTATGGTATCGAATAATTTTATGTTCAATAAATCTGTGTCCAATACTTTGGTGTCGAATTGTACTGTAGTCAAACGGAGCACGTCCAAGAAAAAGTTGATGAATGTACGGTAGTGAGATGGCAACATATAAGAGAATTGTACTTAACCAAATTACTGTTTAATATACATTGTAATTTGTTGAAGTAATTTGAGTAATTTGAGTCAAGCAGAAATGAATTAAGAGGAAAGCTCTGTAGATATTATAAAGTTATTCCATACTTTATTCTCCAGAAGGAGAACGGTAAAGTATTTTAAGCATAAATTTTAAAGCCCTTTGAAATCTATAAAGTTTATGATTAAGACAATTAAAATGACTTACTTAGTTTTTAAAATATTAAATTAGTAAGTTTTATGGATTCGCTTTTTTTGTATGTATTTTATATATGTGTTATATTCTATTATTTACAAATACTTTTATTTAGGTCGATATATGGGAAGCATTAAGAGCACAAAAGCCATCTAGACCAGCTACACCTAATATGACAACTGAGGAAGAAAATCAACTTCAGAGGTATGTCTCCACTGCACAATATAGTGTTCTATCATTACAGACCAGTGCTAACCAGCAGATTTCTGAGATTTATTTTGACAACAAAAATTCTAATTCAATAGAGATAAATAAATGATTCCAATATCTAAAATACAAGGGAAAAAGATATAGAAGCACCAATGCTCTCAAAGATTCTATCACAAATAACTAATATCACAATGTCGATATAATATAGTTTGTATTGTACAATATAATATATTTTGAATTATAATATACATATACATATATACAGGGTGTCCGACAATTACTTTAAAATCTCTCGTAGGCAGGTAGAAGAAGTAAAACTGAGTCGAAAAGTCCTATACTATTTTGCTAGATTTCGCAATAGTTATCGATATCTTAATTAACAAAGATCCGCGAATAAGCATGCATCGGGCCGTCTTACGCGCGTAAGACAGCCCGGCGCGCTTCACGCGCTCGCGGTTGTTACTCGTAGCAACAGTACGGGAGGAGCTAACATAACAGCATATACTATATCATATACATAATGGAAGATGGAAAATAACGATGGCCAAACGCGAAAGCGTGAATGTTTCATTTTGATTAGCAAATTACGAGCAATTATTCGCATGTTTTGCTAATCAAACTAAATAATTCTAATACTGAGATGTGTCGATAATGAGTCTGTTTACTTATTTATTTAATTAATCTTTTCATTATCGAGGACGAGATATCTCGCCATCACAATGTCGCTTGAGTGATGCTATGGATGAGATATCTCGCGTCGCAATTTCTATTGCTGTGCTACGGGCAAGATATCAACAAAATCTTCTTGAATTGATTCTTTAATCTAAATTTTCAGATGACAAATTAAATTATACGAGATATCTTGTTTATAGCACTTTCGAATAACGAAAGTTGTGACGCGAGATATCTTGTCTAAAGGGCCTTTTGCAATAAGATATTAGTAATAAATCAGAAGTCAGAAGCAAGAAATTGACCAATCACAGTCAAATTACAGAAGAATAATCGATTGTGATTAGTCAATTTCTTGCTTTTGACTTCTGATTTATTACTAATATCTTATTATAGAAGGTCCTTAAAGCGTTGCATAAGTGATATCGTGATAATCGAGATATCTCGTCCATACGTAATGAAAGAGTTAAGAAAGTTACGAGAAGAATCTCATAAAGAAAGGGAAAATATATTATAAATTACATTTCGGCGGAGATATGAATGTAGTACTGATTGTTATTGTTGTGTATTTCTTTAATCTTTCTTTTACTTATTAATTTTGTTACATACTAAAAAGAAACAATATTTAGAAAAAAGAGTATTTTAAATATTATATTAGTGTAATTATCTTGGCATAAAAGAAAGCAATAATGGATTTTTAATTATTTATTTATTTAACACATTCGAGACCGATAACTCAGCATATGATTATACTACTGCTTGTTTAATTATTTAATCTTTTTTTTTACTCATTAATTTTGTTATATACAAAAGAGACAATATTTATTACAATACAAAATAGATTAAATATCGTATTATTGTAATTACAAAAATTAAACTTTTGTTTGTATTCTTTATAGGAGTCTTCCCATAAAATAAATAAGTAAATAAAAAAATAAATAATTATTAGTATTAACATTTTGATAATAACATATTCGAAATCGATGACTTAACATATGGGTCATGCGATGTCTCACCATTTAGCCGATGACTCAGCATATGGATCATAATATTCCGAAACTAAGAATTGCCGTATTTTGTTGATAGTTTTGTTATAGGACGTTAGTCTCGAATAAATTAATTATTTACAGAACGAATCTCATGCAAAGAAAAAAATAATTTGAAGATACATTTTGTTGCTAATCATAGTGGTTTTCTTACTTATTTCTCTGTTTTACAGTTTGTTTTCACTTTATTTAATTTTTAACGTACACAAAAAATATTCAAATATTGTAATATTGTTATAAAAAAAATTAAATGTTTTTACAGGAATTAATGAAGAGTTTTTTTTATAGGATAGTATTTTTTATAAGATTTTTTCCGTAAATAAATAAAGAGATAATAAATGATCAAAATTTTAACGTTAGATTAATTGAATGAGCTCGTGAGATGATAAAACAGGATGCTTGGACAGATACAAATCAAAACACAAGATGTTTGTATGAGTGAGTTCTTTATTATTTGATAAAACAAAACCAATTACAAACATTTTGATATCATTATTCTTCATCAATGTATGAGCAAAATTATATAATATAAAATTTATAAGAAAAATCACAGAGCATTCATTGTGAGTAGTTCAGTATAATTTGTAAGTATGTATTGCTGTCCTCAGGTGTTTGGGTAGTAGGAAGCAATAGAGTAATACAATTTTTATATTATACAATTTTGCTTACACATTGATAAAAATCCGAACAAAGAAATCAAAACGTTTGTAAGTTTTTTCGGTATCAAATAATAAAAAATCACTCACACGAATATCTTGTGTTTTGATTCACATCTGCTCAGTATCCTGTTTCGACATTAGAATTATTTATTTGAAGTAAAACAAAAATTCCGAGATGTTGGTAATGAGATTTTATTTATTTATTTATTTATTTAATTACTTAATTATTTACTAAAAGAATTAAAAATATAAAAAAAAAATTAAAGATTGTTTAGGTTGGAAATAATGATGTGATTATATTCTTCAATTTTTCTATTTTTTCTATATTTTTCACATACAAAACATATTTTCAATATTATTTGTAGATAACATTTTAAAAATTTATCATTAGTACACAGTAAACAATAAAATTTTAATTTTAATTTGTGTGGACCACCTGGGACATGTAAAAATAGTTAAAGGAAACTCATTCGTCATGTGTTATTTATTGACAAACTAGTAATGTTAAATAATTGAACAATTAAAGAATCTTTTCCGGCTCTGTAGTTTCTAAACTAATAAATATATATTCGGTCATTGGAGCCATTCGCTAGATGTTGTGCGGAAATTATACGTGTATATATGTCCATATATACGTGTTCACATGTAAATTTTTACACGTGAAATTCGAATTGAATTAACAATTCTAAAATTCATATTGGATGCTATACTTGCATCTCTTATATGAGAAATCCCAAATACCCCCCTAAATTGAAATTAAATAATTGACACTTTACACTTATATTTTCACGTTATTTTCATTTTAAGTTTAAAAAGTATAAATGTAAAAATAAAATAACATAAAATAATTAAAAACTACATAGAAAAATAGTTATAATAATTCGTATAAGATACAAAGATGTTTTTCGGATTTGAACCATGTTAGTGTCATTCTTATACCGACGTTTCGTAAACATTTCAATTAACTTCATCAGGGCAATCTGATTTAAAGAGCAATCTTTAAAGAGCAATCTGATACAATATCGGTATAAGAAACGTTGGTATAAGAATGACACTAACACGGTTCAAACCCGAAAAATCTTGTATGTTAAATACAACACACCGCGAAAGCATCAAATATCAACTCGTATAAGAAATGTACTTCAAAAAGAACAAGTACATACATTTCTTACGATTTATTGTAACTATTTTTCTATGTAGTTTTTAATAATTTTATACATATGTTATTTCATTTTCACATTACACTTATAGTCAAAATAACTAATAAATATAAATGTGAAGTGTCAATTATTTACCATTACTAGTTTGTCAATAAGTAACACATGACAAATCAGTTATTATAATCATTTTTACATGTCTCAGGAAGTCCAGTCAAATTAAAATTAACAGTTTATTTGCTATTGTGTATTAACTACACTTATAAAATATTAAGTGACAATAAGGTATAAAAACACACAATAAATATTTTCAAACATTTATTTCTTTTTCTTTTAATAAATGTTTTACATATTATACAATTATTGCACGCTATCATTTCTACACCACCTTGCGGTAGATAGCATGGCGCATTTTTTTTATAGTGGTATCCCTAGTAGGTCTAATCCACTCTCATAATTTAAGTTACGTGGAATATAATGGATAAAAATACAGAATGAAAAATTTATGAGATACTGTTGTAAAAACTGAAAGTTGATGTTGCTCATCAGAGCTACACTACAAACTAAACGTATGAGCTGGATCTTCGTTCCTAGAACTCAAGATATTCTTTCGGCACGTTCTACAATGTTTAGGCATTGAGATAAGTGTAGGCTTTATTGAACAGATTGTTTGGATTGGAAAAAGAGTTACTAGATTTATATTTATAGGTCTACTATTTTGACCGGTTGTTTATACAGGTTAAAGAAAATAATTGACTGAAGACATAAAGATAAGGCTAAAAGATAAAAAAAGATTGCAGCACGTAACAACGCTCAAGTGAGTAGATAGTGAAAGTAATGTTATTCTCACAAATATGTTATATATGCACATAATAAAAACATCACCAAAGAAAAAACATTACACAATATAACGCAACTATCAGAAAACATTTGAATAAACTGTTTGTGCTATTAGTAAAATAAACATTAAAAGATACAAAACTAACAGTAGCAGATTTCCTAAAGAAAAGTTATCAAGTACTTTACGTATGACATTTAATGTATTTTTTTGTTAATGATATTGTTATTATGCACATATATATACATATACAATGCATTTATGAGAATAATAACGGGTGCTTTATTGAATACAGTACGATTCGACATCAAATTATTGGACAAAATTATTCGAGCGGTCCGAGATCGAAAGAGAACGGCGCGCGGTATTACAGGCAGCCAGAGAAGAAATTTCTAAGAAATACTTCTTTTGACGCGGCACGATATGGTGCACTCCTCTATACGATTTGGTATGATTGGACACAGTATATTTTCCGATATCGTGTACATTTCACAAGTAAATATCTTGTTCGCATTACACATTATCGTACACGTGTGAGCGGGGGAAGGGATCGCCCTTCTGTTTGCACCACATCTCCCAAAAAAACTAACCCACATTAACCTGTGGGTTATTACTATCATTACTT